AACGGCTGCGCTGTTTCCAATGAATGCAGTAGCTTAGTGTGCTCGTGAGGCGCCGGCGCGATCAAACAGCTGAAACATAAAATAGACTACTCCGTAATTTTTGGTCATACAGTAAAGGCATAATTCGAAACTGCAAAGTGCAAAGTGTTAGCAGTTTGAAAATTCAAGAATAACAGCAAAGTTAATAAGAATTCTTTCTAAATGCAGCACCGTTCTTATTTCGCTCTGCTTAACCTGAATAAAAAAAATAATAATTTTTTGCTAAGAACGAACCGAAATGAAAACATTTAGCTTTTAATCTGTGTATTTAACAGCCTGGGAGACCTTCCCAGGGCAGTACCTTGCCTCACCGACTAAAATCAGGGCGCCCACTATGGAGACGGCACCAGAGGTGAGGGGGGACAGTGCCCGACTTAAAAAGTCAGAATTGCAAAATAAAAACCCAATTCTGAGAAAAAAGTCAATTGTGAGATAAATTTACTGATTCAAGATAAACTTACAATTCAAAGAAAAAATTCAGAATTGCAAGTTTATCTTGCAATTAACATTATCTCGCTATTAACATGAACTCACAATGAGCAGTACATTTTTTTTTTCAGTATTTATTCATCTTAGTTAATGTTATCTAATAATAAAAAAAAACTGTTCATTGTTAGTCCATGTTAAATAATCAGGTCCATTAAATAATAGTAACAGTAATAATAATAATTTAATTGAATACTTTTGCATTTTGCATTGTTAGTTAACCAAGGTTAACAAATGGAACACTTTTGAGGAATAAACTTTTGAGGAAATTGATTTGGCAGGCAAAAGTTTGAAAAAATACATATACATATGTATAAATATATATACTGTAAGTATATATTTTATTTTGATCTCAGTGCAGTTGATTTATTTTTTCAGAAATAATAGAACTGATCATGTAAGATGTGCGTTCAAATTATTGTCAGCTTTTAAAACACTACATCATGAGGAATGTAAAAACATTATTCAGTGTGCAAAGTGAGGCAACATCGTGTATTGTTTTACAGTGCAGTATTTTGTAGTGCAGTTGCTGGCTTGGAGAGGAAGCTGCTGAATGGAGATTGATGTCAGTTGTTCTTTATTGGCAGGAGTTTTAATTATGCTGCTGAAAGGGTTGATGTGACCTAGCGCTGGTTTTTAGACACTCTCTCCAGGGAAGGATATATAATTTTACTTGTCATGACAGAGAAGAAAAGAAACATCACAGCTCACTTAAGAGTACTCAATTCAAAAACCCTTTTATTTGCTTATATAAGATGCACAGCCACAAGTGTTAGCAACATGTTGATTTGAAAAATGTTTGGCCTGTGAATTTGCATGTTACTTTAATAGTTATAAAGTGCACATGAATCACTGCTACAGAGGTGATGCTCACATCTGTATACTATGCATATTATATCCTTGTTGTAAATTTACCAGTAATTTACCAGCTCACAGCAATGTTTTTTACTGTAAATGTAAGGGTCAAATTGTTGCTACCTGCTTTAGCTGAAAAAAAGTTTGTTTATTCAGCCTAATTTTTGTGACGTCAGATCTTGAAGTTGGCAATCATCCTAACATTTGGCATGGTTGTATGTTCCAGGGTGGCTGCCAGAGCGCTGCTTTTTGAGAACCCATCAGCTGTAAAACCTCCTCCCTTGGGAAGGTACCAATGGACAGGGCCCATAAAAACATCACTGTTTCACATATATTTAATGGCAAACGTCATAAAAAATAAAACCAACAAATATCTCTTTTAAAACAGTGTATGAGCACATCGGTAAATCATTTCTGATTTTAATCCACAGAGATGCCAAAGCCATATATTCATGTGAAGCAGAACACAGCAATGAGCTGAGCTTCCCACAGGGGGCCCACTTCTCCAACGGTGAGTCTATCTATCTAGCTATCTATCTATCTATCTATGAGTGACCTTTGAATGAACTGTGGCTGCCATATATACTAAGAAACATGGAGCAATTCTGGCCATGAATCTGATACCAAATCTGCGTATTGCTGTTTTGGGAATGTGTTTTGAGGGAAGTTAAAATATGTACGTCTTTTGTGACTGACTTGCAGTGACGGTTACAAATCTCAAAAAGAGAATGAACTATGACTGGACTGATGCACATTGCTGCATACCAGGGCATTAATATTGATAGAAAATAATGCATTCTTGTGTCTGCTCTGTGGAACGACCATCTGTTGTTGTTCTTCGTACATGTCAGGACTGGGATTTTATAGCTGAATGTATTTTCCGCAAGGAACAAACTTTGCTGGGCACCAGGGCATTGAAACAGGTCACAGTAACCTGGTGAAGGCAGCGTCTTCCCCTCTCTAAAGCTTAGCAAACACTTAGCACAACATAAACCTCCTCTTACCCATCAACCTTCTCACCATGTTGACTTTTGAGAGCTCTGCTTATAAAAAATGATTTAAAACCTCTTTATTTTCCAATCTCATCTGCCTAATGCTTTACAGTCTAAACAGATGCTTTGATAGTTCAGAGTACGTTGAAATGCGTCATTACAGGGTGAGTAATTTGTGAGGTCCTTTGAAAGCTTTATGGTGGTCATTTATCAACTCAAGTCACCTTTATTTATATAGCGCTTTTAACAATACAGATTGTGTCAAAGCAGCTTTACAATTATCAAATAGGAAAATAGTGTGTCAATAATGCAAATAGACAATAGTATCTGTGCAATCAAGTCGACGATATCGCTGGAAATTAAGTGTCCCCAACTAAGCAAGCCAGAGGCAACAGCGGCAGCGGCAAGGAACCAAAACTCCATCGGTGACAGAATGGAGAAAAAAACCTTGGGAGAAACCAAGTTCAGTCAGGGGGCCAGTTTTCCTCTGACTAGACGAACCAGCAGTTTGTTCCATGCTGCAGCAAAGTCAGATTGTGCAGAGGACTCATCTGACTCATATCAGAGCAAACTGACCTGACTTGATCCGTCTTTAATTAAAACTCTGCATATGCAGTTCACTGATCAGAATCAGAATACCCCCCTTTCCTAGGTTACTATTGTTTTGTGAAAATAATGGCCAAACAAATCACTTTAAACATAATGGCTCAAGTGTTTCAAGTTTATTTAGGACTACATGCTGTGTTTGTCTGAGATGAGGTTAAATGGTCAACTTATCATACGTCTGATCACACGACTTAGAAAAATAATGAAAACTACTGGTTGTCGCCTTGAACGCCTTTACAGGAAAACTGGTTTGAACGTTGCTTACAAGGACCATATTCAGCTATATAAATCAGCTTTAAATACTGTACGCTCCAGTTACTATTCTGCCCTCATTACCAATGCATCCTCCCGTCCTAAAACACTGTTTTCTGTAGTCAACAAACTCACCAACCCTCCTTCACCTGTCATGAGTAACTCAGTAGACCTCTGTGAGTCATTCTTACACTTCTTCCAAAATAAAATAAATTGCATATATAATCTCTTTCCAACAATGTACTACCCTATCCACTCACATGACTTCCCCTCAGATTTTGCACCTGGTACTTTTACTGATTTTGACCTTCCAACTCCTGCCTATATCTCTGAGCTACTCAAAAAATCTAATCCATTTTTCTGTCATCTTGATCCTGCTCCTACTACTCTACTCAAAATCTCTGCACCTGTTATTTCTCGGCCTATTTCACTTCTCATTTCTTAACATCTCAGCACTGGTGCTGTTCCTCTTGAATTCAAAACTGCAGCTGTCACACCAGTCTTAAAGAAACCCGGCCTTGACCCTTCTGATATGGCCAATTACAGACCAATTTCAAATCATCTGCTTCTTTCAAAGCTACTTGAAAAAGTTGTTGTTGCTCAACTTCAGTCATATTTGTCATCTCATAACCTCTAAGAATGTTTCCAGTCCGGTTTTCACACTCTTAACAGCACTGAGACAGCACTTCTTAAGGTTGTCAATGACCTCCTTATGGCCACCGACTCAGGCTCCATTAGCATTTTAATTCTATTAGATCTTTCCTCTGCTTTTGACACTATCTCTCACAGTATTCTCGTCTCACGACTCTGTTCTTGGTATTTCTGGAACTGCCCTATCTTGGTTCACTTACCTGTCTGACCGTCAGCATTACATTGCTGTCCGCCAGGCTAAGTCCTCTACTGCTCCTGTCTCTCACGGTGTTCCTCAGGGTTCTGTTCTTGGGCCTTTACTCTTCATCATCTATATGCTCCCTTTAGGTAACATTATCCGTCATCACGGCATCAACTTCCACTGCTATGCAGACGACACCCAGCTCTATATCAGTTCTCAACACAACTCCATATCAGCTTGTATTAATGATATAAATGTTTGGATGACAAGTAACTTTCTCAAACTCAACACTGATAAAAACAGATCTACTACTTGTCAGTTCACCAAAATATGTTGCTCCTTTCTGTGCTGACTATGTTAACATTGCTGGGATCTTGGTTCGACCTTCCACCACCATTAAAAACCTGGGTATAATCTTTTACTCCTCTCTCTCCTTCCTACCTCACATTTCTTCACTCACTAAATCTGAGTTTGCAGAAAGGCGCTATATAAAATAAACTTTATTATTATTATTATTATTGTTATTATTATAATGGCACACCTCAATATGCCACATGATTTGAGGTAACATTCAAGTACTTAACATGTGGGACGACATACAGGTAAATGCCATATTTAATGCTTAGGGTTTGTGGGCTCAACAATAAGGCCAATTTGGTTGTCTTGCCTACAACTTTACTGACCCCATTGAAACGATGCCATTTTATTTTTGGCTATGTTGTTTGTGCCATGAAAAAGACTTTTAAATAAAGTTAAATTAAGTTTTATTAACGCTTCCAAGATTAAGACATTATTGCTATTTAAGCTAATATATGACAACATTACACTGGTAAAATCAAATCAGCAAACATTATAATTTTTTATAATTTATTAATTTATATTAATTGAATAATTAATTTAAATAAATATAAAAGTGTTAAGTTTTCTTTCTCTCTCTCTTTCCATATATATGAGCAATATCACACTTGTAGCAGTGCGATATGGCTGTGATTCGGCCATAGGCACAAGAGAAGGAAAGCTTAACACTTTTATATTCGCACGGCTACTTATGTGACATTGTGTTTATACAACACTTTGATGGCACAAGTGTGTAAATAAAAAAAGAAACAACTAGTGCAACCACTTCCTTCCACCATGGATTCAAATCTCAGTTTGACCGTTTAACAGCTGAGCTCAAGCCTACATTACTAATTTGAAAACATCACTTTAGAACTGGTAACGAAGGAACATTGAGTTGCTTCATTAAAAGCTTATTGTATCACTGTATTAAAAGCTCACTGTATTATTTGATTATGAGTGTGATTACCTGCATCTGATACAGCATTCATTCTTCAGTTCAATCTCATATTCACAATAAAACAATAGTTTGAATGTTCGCTGAGGAAAGCGATATCTTTGTGGTGCTATCCTTTTTATCTGTTAAGGGTGATTTCCGATGACAGCGCTGCTCAGTGCATTTGTTGGCTGCATCTTGCAAATAACTTCCTTGTTTACAACCAGTCTCTTTCCAAATAAAAGTCTTCACTGCTGACTCACTCATAAAGTCTCTTGGTTACAGAATAATGTAACTAAAATAATCATCACGAACACACACACACAAACCATCCTACGGCTTCGTGACAACAGCCAAATAACAGCCGTGCTTATATATATCCATATCACACTGCTACTCGTGTGATATTGCTCATATATAGTCAGTAATAGACGGAAATTATTTAGAAACAATCTTTTTCTGGAATTTGCTGGAACATTACTGATTTATGTGTAATTTCTAACAGTCGTATTAATGCTTCTAAAATTAAGACATTATTGGTAACATCAAATAATCAAACAACATTCAATTTAATATAGAATAATTACGCTAATTTAATTTTGCTAAATATATAAGGCATGTACAAGATCAACAAACATACGCTGTATTGATCCAATGATGTTCAGTCATTGGTCCCAAAACACTTTCAAAAATGGTCTTAGGCCACATATCCATTGTTGTGCCCCTAAGTATGAGTAATGATACTATAGATTTTCCCTATCAAGTCTTCCCCACTAAACTTTCTCATTTTCCTCTATGTAGTATATCCTTCAGTGGAACCGGGCTGGCTCCAGGCAACATTTGAGGGCAAAACAGGCCTCGTTCCTGAAAATTATGTGGTGTTCCTCTGACAGTCGTTCAACCAGGAGGGGCCCAAGCTTTTCATGGTATCCATGGCAACATCAATTTTAGACCAAGGGCTTTAAATATACAGTGGGTACGGAAAGTATTCAGACCCCCTTAAATTTTTCACTCTTTGTTATATTGGTTGATGGCTGTGCGAGTGGACTGTGCCATTAATATGACATTGAACCTTAAGAGATAATGGACAGTACACAAACCTCAATGATGCAGCACAAGGGTGATTAATGTCTAAAAAGCAGCTGTAATTCTAGACAAATGGGTTCCAAAGCTTTTGCTGAGGCAGAAATGTTGAAATTGACATCATGTGCTGCTTGAATCTAGATACACAAATTCACATACACTGAGACCACGTGGTGTGATGGACTGCACAAAATGCTGTTTTTAGGTCTACTATGTGGTGGAATACTGTAATTCTGTTAAGAAAGATCAGCTTAGACAGGCTTTCTTTTATTTTAGCTCAATGCTTACTGCCTTGAAATGAAGGAAAATAATGTTAAACCTCAGCAGTAACTATTTGAGCTGTGAATCACTGTCAATTCAGCAGTACCCAAACTCTGATGTGCGTGGTTTATTTCATCATGAATGTACTTACTTTTACTGTCATTAATGTTCAAAAGTCTGAAACCACATTGTTTGGATTCTGAACATTTTAAACAGAGAAACTATAAGAAAATGAATTTCTGCAGTATGTCTAGGTGACTAATCAATTAAGATTAGGTTTTCAAGTAAATTGTGACATTTACCACATGGTCAGATTTCCAGCTTAACACTGAAGCTCAAGATGCTCTTAGGAACGTCTTTAAATCATGCTGGAGAACATGATCATCAGGTTTAGTTATGCAGCTTGAGTGCTGCTGACATTAAAGGGATGAACAATATATATATTTACATATTTTCAGTTATAATATTCATATTCATCACATTATGCTGTTAATAAAATGTGTTTTGTATGTTATTGACAAATAGAATTCTACATGGACTACTGGAATCAGCCATTTAAGCACAAATGTTTGGTGGACAGTGAAACGTTCCAGTTTTGTGCTGAAATATTAGCACCCCCGGAACAATTATTCAATAACATCAGTGGAACGCAACTGAGTGTTCCAGTTATTTATATTTTAAAGGTCTAATATTCTAATCCTGTTTGAAAATCTCTGGTGTAGAGAATGAGATAGCAATGGATCATGTCTCAGTTTTGCATCCAGGTCACTGCAGAATGTCAAGTAAAATTCAGTCTTTACAAATACTAATCAAGTCTAGCTGTAGCAGCTTCATTGTACATGATGTTCAGGTCACATTATTCCTTCTGAAGTTTAAGATGACACCAACCGTCAGTGTCAACAACACCAATATGGTACGTCTTATTGTCTCCATAATTAAATATTATGAATATGAGAATAGACGTTTATATATGGATAATTATTTTGTAACTCATATTTTTCTTCTTAATTCCTTTTTGTTCTGCCAATAAATTTGTTTATAAAATGAGATCCACTTCTTGTCTTCTGTTTAAGAAAAGCTAAATCATCAGAAATAAATCTCAGACATGAGTCACTTCGTTCCGGCGGAGATCTGAGGATAAACAGCATCAGATGTATTTGGAAAGGAGGCGATTGCCAAGATCCCAGTGTTCTTTCCCAATTAAATACATGAGAACGCTCCGTGCCCTTGACTGCTGATGTTTGTATGATACTCCCTTCAGCTTACTAAACCATCAAGGTCACGGAGAAAATGTCAGATGATCCAAAAAAAAAACTTTTTTTTTTTTTTTCAAAATTTATGCTCTTGCCTTCTGATAAAACATTTAATATTCTGCTTTAAAAATAAGCATCAGACTGGATCATATTATACAGTGATCCATTAATTATACAGTTGAACACTGAGCCAATGAGTTCTTTGTCTTTCAAACATTGTTATTGTATGCAATCAGTGTTTTTTGTTTTTTTATTAGATACTTCATAATTATGTACTTTTCATTTGATGTGAGCAGATACTGTGTAAATGTAAGTACAATCAAAGGTGCCTGGCACTGAGCGTTTGTAAAATCTGACCATGGAAACTGTCCGCTTGACATTTATCGGAGTGAGACAGATAAGCATTTCCTTTTCATCACACTCGGACACATTTCCTGAAAATCTAGGATTTAAAAAAAAAAAAAAAAGTTTATAATTTAACCATAAATTATTGTCTAATATGTTAAAATTTTAGTAATATTTAAGGATTCATTTGAAAAATAAAAAAGGCTTTGAAAAATCCATACATCACATTTTTAGCACATTTTAAGACAATAGCAGGTTTAATAATACAGCTTGATCACATGTTGTCTTCAGATTCTAGTTCTCCACATTGAAAAATTGAGGATTTTCAACTACCACATTAGATCAGAACTTGTGACTATTATAAGGGGATGATTGTATATGGAAAGATGCATGTCTATGTTATTTAGATGTGGTACACATTCATCTGAGATGTAAATCAACACAGACCCAAGCGTCCTGTCTGGATCACTTGTGAAACATGAGGGGTTTGACCATTCCCGCCAGCACTTTCGGCAGCTGTGACGCAATGACCTCTGACATCATCTCTGGAAACTCCACCCTCATGGCATCCGCCTGGATGTAAGTGCTCAGACAGTAGAGATTGAACTTCTTTGCAATCTACACAAAGATAAAGTCAACGTCACACATCAGGCTCCCCTATCATATGCTCTGTGCGTTCTGATATCTAACAAGTGATGACGTGAATAAAGCCGCTTCATTAGTGATGTGACCTATTTCATACGAAAGATTTGATACATGAGATAAATTATCATTTGATGTCTTTTTCACATTGACATCACTCAGCTTATTACAATGTGTTCTAAAACAACAGATTAAAGGGTTGTTCACGCCAAGGAAGATAGCTGGAACTATAAAGGTTTATTAATCGTTATGATTCTGAGAATATGGAAGTCCACATCACAATTATAATGATATTGACACAGAGTAATGCATTGCATAGGGCATTGTTAGAATCACTGTGACAAATTTTTCCAGCTCATGTGCAATTAAGAACACGGACAGCCAATCAGAATCCATCTGACATTAAAGAGCTTGTGCATTTAAAGCGCAAACAGCATATCTGTATCAAGTGCTCGTAATAAACAGATTATTGTCCTGCATTGGTGTGGATACTAATATAGTTATTTGTTATCGCTATGTTTATACGGTCTAAAAACAACTGTTTTAGCTTAAAAATACATAAAAGTTTGCATCAATTTTTTGGGTTATGACAACTTCAAAAGAAATTGTGTCCAACCGACAAACTACATGGGACTTAATCATATATACAATGTATTTAAGTTGATTCTTTCAGTTACTCCAAATAAATGTAAACTATATGTCAAAATGCAGTTTATGAGACAAATGTAATTGTCAGTAAAATGGTAACCACAAAAACTTCAACATAACAGAAACTCTTTTAACTTGTCTAACATATCTTTGTCCTTACTTAAAACATAAAATAACACTTAATTTAAATATTTATTCTACTTATCTAGTCCTATGCAAAGCTTGCTTGGAACTGGAATTCCACTATTTAAAATACTTAATAAAAAAAAAAAAATGGTAAAAAATTAAAACGTTTAAAATATATAATGTCATAATTGTCTTCTTAAATTGCAAACAATATTGAGATGATATAATGATCGACATTACCATAATGTTTGCAACTTTTAAAGGTTTACTTAAATCAATAAATTAAAATTTTTAACTTGCAACCATACATTCATTTAAATTGTGTTTATAGGTCCCCAGCACTACTTTTTAGAGTGTAGTTATCATTCTTGTTGTGAACAGGCCTTAAGTTTCATTGTGTTGCAATGCTTTCACATTGGGACTGAGGTAGAAAAACAGGATTTCTTGAAAAAGCTCAGCAGCTTCCTTTTCAAAATTTTTCCTCTCTCAAACATTTCCTATAAAAACGACCCATGTTTAGTCTATAGCTCCCTTTTG